AAGCAACAACCCTCGACGTCTACAGCTCTAAAGAGCCCAAGCACGAGGTCCAACTTAGGGCGACGATTCCTTCTGGCGTCGACAGATCGTGCCGTCGAGCTTAAGGCACAAAGATCTCTTGACCGCAGAATCGACCACCAAGAAGGACGAGTGGGCTAAGCGTCGCTGGCGACGAGGGGAACGTTCTCTGGAGGACGTGGCAAGTTACGTACAAAAGTGGGGGACGTCTGCAGGCATTAATTGCGAGCTCTTAAACCACCCCACAGGGGACAGGAGAGTGTTACAGGGACGCACAGAGCCGTAATAGAAGACTAATTGGCTGAGTGAACAGTGCTGATTAGTGGGCTACGTCTGGGACTAAAAAGGGAGAGCACTTGAGTGCTTCTGCCTACGAGGGAAACCCACCCAGCGAAGGAAGCCCAGTATAAAAGAAGGGAGACCCCCTACGAGGAAGGGGTGAAGATCCAAGAAGAGAAAAAAGAGAGTGAGAGATAGCAATTGATGTAAATTGTAATCCCCTCAAAAAGAAATATACAACCACAGTGGATGTAGCTCTAGATTTACAGAGTGAACCACTATAAAACTTCTTGTCTTCTTTACTTATGCACATCTAAAACTATACACACCATACACCCCGAACAATGAATTTTCACATATATTCAACATATAGGCCGGTAATCCAAAGGGAAACTAAGAGGTAACCCGGCCGGTTTTTTGTTGACGAGAAATCGCCGTCAACAATTGGCGACTCCGCTGGGGACCAAAAGCGTTCGACCCGCAACAACATAGTTAGCAAGCACGCCTCTAAGAGAGACGGATGAAACCGCCGTCCATCCAGGGAATAACGGGATGGAAGGAGATCTACGCTCGGTTGCAGACGAAGTCCCACCCCCAGACGCGCCACGACCGGATCCTGTACAGATGCAGGCCCAACTGACCACTCTAACTGAGCTGGTACGTGGGCTGATGACCGTGGTTGAGCGCTTAGATGGGAGGAACTCTATGCCGCCGTTAGAAGACGCCCCGAGGCCGCAGGGACCTGCTATGGCTGGAAACCCGAACCTCGGTGACCACCCACATATCCAAGAGGGAACCGGGGACAGCGAGAATCACCGGGGCCCTCCTAGGCCTCGGCCTTCCCAATCCTCTGGCAGCCGTTTAGGGGCCGCCGGACTCTAAGCTCCCGAGGACCGGGTACCAAGAGGTCCGGGAAATCCCGAGGTATTACCCCATAATCCAGGAGGAAACCCGCCAGGAGACTTGGGATCAGTACAGGCGGGCGGCCAGGCCAGGGGCGGACCCAACGTTCAGAGGGTAGAGGCGTCGAGAGTAGCTGGCCCAGCCATTTCAACAGAAGAAGCACGCGCCATCATGGAACGTATGGCCAGCCTGGAGGAAAAACTGACGGGGGACGTGGCAGGTCTAAAAAAGAACATAGGGCGAGTGGTTGAGGTGGTAAACGTAGACATCACGCCTAGCCACATGCATGACCATCCATTTACCGAAGAAATAATGGCGCCCCCTCTCCCCGATAAATATAGGTCACCGACGATCCCACCATATGATGGTCGAGGGGATCCCGACGACTATTTGGAGATGTACACAGGGCACATGCTCTTGCACGGGTATGCTGAGGAGATCATGTGCCGAACCTTTCGGAACCATTTGACGGATTCTGCCCGAAGATGGTTCCGGACGCTGAGGCCAAATTCCATCTCGAGCTGGGATGAGTTGAAGGAAGCATTTTTCCTCCAATTCATAAGGGTTAAAAAGTACGTCCCCCCGAAGTAGAATCTGACGGTGATATACCAAAAGCCGAACGAGTCATTAAGGGAATGGCTTGCAAGATACGGGGAAGCTGTCACCACCACGATGGATATAACGGACAGAGAGGCCTTGATGGGGGCGTTGTCTAACATGACGAAAATCACCCCCTTCAAGAGAGAGTTGAACCGGAAACCCCCGTCCAGCTACAAGGAATTTCTTGCGCGAGCACAAGGGTACATCAACGCCGAAGAGGCGGACGCAAATGACCCTGAGCATAGGTCCAACAAGAATAAAAGGACCGAACAAGGGTCGACGCCTGCAAAGCAGGATGGGAAGAAGCGTCGAGGCGGAGGAAGCGGAGACAAGCAGCCTGCTGCGACGTCGAGTGCTCCCGAAGCCAAAAAGCCAAGACAAGAGGAGAGCCGTAAGCCTCGGCTGTTTCAAAGGTACGATTCTTACCACGAACTAACAGTAGGAGTCGAGGAGGTCTTCAATCAGGTCGGCCGCGGAAATCTACTACGCTGCCCGGAACCAATGAGGACAGATCCCAACCGGAGAAACCAGAAGAAATTCTGCAGGTTCCACGGCGAAGTCGGCCACCACACCAACGATTACGTCGACCTCAAGGATGAAATCGAAAGGGTAATCCGCGAGGGGAGGCTACAGGAGTTCAAAGCTGAACGGAGACCTCGAAATGATGGCCACGGTGGACAAAATGACGGTCGTCGCCGAGAGGAGAACCAACGCCCAGAGGACCGAGAACCTGTCGGTGTCATACGAACTGTCCTTGGCGGTCCTTATATAGGAGGAGACTCAAGGAGGTCTCAGAAGGACTATGCCCATGAGGCCAGGGGGGTTTACCAGGAGCGATTCTGGAGTGTCTCCGCTGCAAAAACCCCAAGGTACTGCCACACCGACGTAGCCTTTAACGAGAACGACGCCAGTGGAGTTCACTTCCCCCACAACAACGCATTGGTGGTGGAAGCCATGATAGGGAACCACACCGTGTGCCGAATCCTGGTAGACAATGGGAGCTCAGTGGACCTCCTATACTCTGACTACTTGGAGAAAAAGGGGATCCAAAAGGAACAATTAGAAAAGACCTCCAGGCCACTATATGGTTTCACCGGGGACTCTGTCATCCCCCAGGGGACCATCAGGTTGCCTATAATCGCCGGAGAAAAACCCTGACAGGCTACTACAATGGCCAACTTTGTGGTTATAAAAGGGGGCTCCCAATACAACGCCGTGATTGGGAGACCAACCCTTCAGGCGCTAAGGGCCATAACTTCCGTCTATCACTAGAAGGTCAAGTTCCCTACCCCAAACGGCGTAGGCGAGATAAAGAGTAACCAGTACGAAGCTAGGGTTGCATACTCCGATGCCCTGTACGGATATGACCAGCCGGGGAGACAGGAGGCTAAGATGGTGTATCAGAACCCCGTCGAGGACATAGACCCTAGGGTTCAAGAGGAGGTTGCATGGTCTCAACCCATCGAGCAATTGGTGGAAATCCAAGTTGATGAAGGCGAGTCCACCAAAGTGCTGAAAATGGGCTCAGACTTAGCCCCATCACTTAAGGTTGAGATCGAGAACTTCCTCAGGAAAAACTTAGATGTCTTCGCCTGGAATCACGCCGATATGGAAAGGATCGACGCCAACATTATATGCCACTCCCTGAACGTCGACCCCTCATATCCTCCCAAACGCCAGAAGCGTCGACCAATGAACCCCGAGAGGTATGAAGCGCTGAAAGAGGAGGTCGACAAGCTGATCAAAAATGGGTTCATCAGGGAGGCCCATTACCCACATTGGGTATCGAACCCCGTTTTAGTAGTCAAGCCCAACGGGGACTGGACAACATGCGTCGACTTCAGCGATCTCAACAAAGCCTGTCCAAAGGATGGCTTTCCACTCCCACGGATAGACTAAATGGTCGACGCCACGGCGAGACATGAGATGCTGAGTTTTATGGACGCCTACTCCGGATACAACCAGATCCCCATGCATCCAGCCGACGAGGAGCACACGTCCTTCATAACCGACAGGGGCCTCTACTGCTACAAGGTGATGCCTTTCGGCCTAAAAAATGCAGGAGCTACCTACCAGAGGCTCGTAAATAAAATGTTCGCTCAACAGCTTGGCAAGACAATGGAGGTCTACGTCGACGATATGCTTGTGAAAAGTGCCAGGGCCAGCCAGCAGTCGACCATCTAGGGGAACTGTTTGGTGTATTAAGAAAATACCACATGAAACTAATCCCCAAAAATGTGCCTTTAGAGTTGGGTCGGGAAAATTCCTTAGTTTTATGGTTAGCAACTGTGGGATAAAAGCTAACCCCGAGAAAATTAAAGCCCTACAAGATATGCGATCCCCAACTAAGCCAAAGGAAGTATAAAGGTTAACAGGATGTGTCGCCGCCCTAAACAGGTTTATATCAAAAGTGACAGACAAATGCGTCCCCTTCTTCAACGCTTTAAAAGGAAGCAGGCGTTTTGAGTGGACACCGCAATGTGAAGAGGCCTTCCAGAAATTGAAGGAACATTTGGGCGAGTCCCCAATTTTGTTGAAACCAAACCCCGACGAGGAGCTTAGCCTATACCTCTTCATGTCCCAACACGCCGTAAGCTCCGTACTGATAAGAGATGAAGAAATGGTGCAATTGCCAATCTACTATGTAAGTAAGAGGCTCCTCGACGCTGAATCAAGATACAACGAAATGGAGCGCTTAGCCCTCACCTTGATGGTAGCTTCAAGAAAGCTTCGGCACTATTTCCAATCTCACACCATACGGGTTCTTACAAACCACCCATTGAGACAAGCTCTACAAAAGCCCGAAACTTCCGGTCGACTCCTCAAATGGTCGGTAGAATTGAGCCAGTTCGACATAAAATATGTGCCAAGAACTGCGATCAAGGGCCTAGCGTTGGCTAATTTTCTAGCCGAGCTCTCCCATAGGCCAGCTCCTGCCACGCCTGAAGGAGTCGAGACTACATAATGGAAGCTCTACGTGGATGGAGCGTCGAGCGAAAGCGGGTCAAGAGCCAGCGTCTTGTTAATAAGCCCAGAAGGCCACAAGATTACCTCGACGGTTCGATTTAAATTCAAGGCGTCGAACAATGAGGCGGAATACGAAGCGCTAATCACAGGACTGCGATTGGCCAGCCACCTGAAAATTGAAAGGCTCATCGTCTTCAGCGATTCTCAATTGGTCGTCGGGCAAGTAAAAGAAGAATACCAAGCTCACGGCGAGAAGATGGGAGCGTACCTAAGGAAGGTAAAGAAAGAACTTGTTAAGTTCAAAAACTACGAGATACTTCAAATACCACGAACTGAAAATGCAAACGCCGACGCTCTGGCAAAGCTAGCATCTTCAAGAGATTCTGACACACTAGGGGTCGTTCCCATCGAAGAATTGGAGCGGCCGACTATTGAAGAAAAAGCTAAGGCCTTAATCATCCAAATAGGTGAAAATTGGATGACACCCCTCATCCAATACCTAATGGACGCACAACTACCAAATAATAAAGACGAAGCCAGACGGATCAGGTATAGAGCTGCTAGGTACTTGTTGTACGACGGCTTGCTCTACCGACGAGGCTACTCAACACCTCTACAGCGGTGCCTGGATAATGCCGAGGCCCAGAAGGTCCTCCAAGAAATCCATGAAGGAGTCTGCGGTAACCACACTAGGGGGCAGTCTTTGGCTCTAAAGGTTTTAAGGCAGGGATACTACTGGCCCATGCTAAAAAAGGACGCTTTTCAATACGCCCGACATTGCGATAAATGCCAAAGGTATGCCACAATTCCTAGAGCACCCCCAGAAAATTTAACTTCCATTCTTAGTCCATGGCCCTTCGCCAAATGGGGGGTTGACCTGATCGGGCCATTACATCTTGCACCCAGAGACTTTAAATTTGCAATCGTCGCAGTAGACTACTACACAAAGTGGGCGGAGGTAAAGGCTCTAATTACAACCACGGAAGCAGCCTGCACCAAATTCATGTGGGACAACATCGTGTGCAGGTTCGGGGTTCCGCACTCAATAGTATCCGACAACGGAAAGCAGTTCGACAATGCCTCAACACGCAGATTCTGTGACAACCTGGGCATTCAGAAAGACTTCTCGGCACCAATCCATCCACAATCTAACGGACAAGTCGAGGCGGTCAATAAAATATTAAAGTGTACCCTCAAAAAGAGACTCGACGATCTAAAAGGAAAATGGGCCAAGGAACTTCCCAAGGTCTTATGGGCATACAGAACGATGAGCCAAACTACAACATGTGAAACACCCTTCTCCATGGCATATGGCGTCGAGGCAGTGCTCCCCGTAGAAATCGAAACGCCGACTCTAAGAACCGTCATCCATAATGACGACGACAACACGGAAGGCATGAATGGGGAACTCGACTTGTTGGAAGAAAAAAGGCTCGACTCCCAACTACGCCTCACCGCCTATCAGCAAAGAGCAGCGCGATATTACAACAAGAAAGTTCGGCAAAAAAGGTTTGTCCCAGGAGACCTAGTATTAAAAAGGGTAACGCAGAGTACAAAACCCAAAAATACTGGTCCACTGGGCCCAACTTGGGAAGGGCCCTACCGCATAAGGGAAGTACTACGTCCTGGCACCTACATTTTGGAAAGCCTCGACGGCAAGAGAATTCAACACCCGTGGAATGCAGAACAGCTAAGGCTGTACTACCAATAGTGTATATAATTCTTACGCATCCCAATTGTACATTCTCTACGAATTAAATAAATTGATATGTTTGCAGAAAGAAAAGAATTCACCCCTTAGTAACATGTTTGCTTAAAAAACCAAGGTTATATCAAATAGACATGGGGGGGTAGAGGTCCACGGATCACTAAAAACATGGCACGACGACCCCAAGGGGTAAATTCGACGTCAGATCCTCCACGGAGGAAAGGCGAATACTTTGCAAAATTCAAAGGAATTTTCTAAGATGATGACCCCAAGGGGTATAATCGACGTCAAATTCTCCAAGGAGGAAAGACAGACACTTAGCAAAATTTGAAGGAATTTTCTAAGACGACGACCCCAAGGGGTATAATCGACGTCAAATTCTCCAAGGAGGAAAGACAGACACTTAGCAAAATTCTAAGGAATTTTCTAAGACGACAGCCCCAAGGGATAAATTCGACGTCAGATCCTCCAAGAAGGAAAGGCGAATACTTAGCAAAATTCTAAGGAATTTTTTAAGACGACGACCCCAAGGGGTATAATCGTCGTCAAATTCTCCAAGGAGAAAAGACGGACACTTAGCAAAATTCTAAGGAATTTTCTAATGCAATAATTGCAAAGCAAGGTATGAATAAAATCCATTATCTTTATAAAAAAAAAAAGAGAAGGTATATATAGATGAAATAAAAAGATGTCCGAATCAACATTAAGTTACAAACAAAGAGAGAGAGGTAAAAATCTTTTCAGGCTTCGTCGCCAGCCGCCGATTCATCGCCGTCACCAGGCGGAGAAATGTTGTCATCGCCACCAGGAGGAGGAGAGTTATAAAGGAAGCTCAAGTCCCACTCAGGACGCTCCTTCTTGATCAGATCGACAATTTGTTGACCTGCAGACTGAAAATCCCTGTTGCAGATGTCGGTGAGCTCCGGAGAAGCCTTGAACTCCTCAATAATCTCAGCGCGCCTGGCGTCAAAGGTAGCTGCAGCCTCGGCTTCGGCTTCCCTCTTCCCCTCGACCTTCCCCTCAGCAAAACGCTTCTTCGCTGCCTCAGCTGCTTCGGATAACTTTTTATCGGACAGGTCTGCCCGCTTTGTAAGATCTTCGACCTTAGCAGTCAACTTGGCCAGTTCATCTTCCAGACTCGCCAGCTTGGCCACGGCCACGTCTTTCTCCTCGACGGCATCCGATGACTTTTTTTTGGCGTCGTCGACGAGGGAGTTGAGCTTGGCTTCCACATCGTCCATCTCCTTATTACGCTCATCAACCTTAACTAGATCAAGGAGGTTAAGGATGGAAAGGACCAGGCTCTGCAAAGTTGAAGGTCAGAAAAACAGAAATACAGAACGACGAGTAAAAAAAAAAAAAAAAAAAACTCTCGACAAAATCTTACGTGGATTTGGAAAGAGATCTGTTTGCGCTGACGGTCGACCAAGGCAGATTGAGTGGCAGCGACCCAGTGTGGCTCAAGGAAAGACTCATAGAGAGC